AACCGTCGTAGTCCGTCTCATTCGCAGTCTACATCTCCACATGCGCACCCATACATGCTCAAAATTTTCACTACGCATGTACTATGTACCCTGTAGCGTATCCTGATGAAAAATGTTTTGTTGAAATCAGAGACACTTCCCAAGGTAGGCCATAGTCCATGGCCATATATTTAAGTCAAAACAGATGAAACAGATAAACACAATTCCAATCATCAAGTCAACCAGCATCGACAATCTGCACATAAGTTCTAAACCTATTGTAAGACTACATTGTATTCAAACTTTGTATTGCAGAAGGGTGGAAGCTGCATGGAATTATGCGACAATTTCAGCGTGCATCCACGCTCGAAAGAGCAGGGTTAATTGTAACAATGTCAATACCATAACAATAACGTAATTGTAGGTGTTGTGATTCGGTTGTCTCTTGTCTGTGCTGGCCATTGCGCGGGCGGTCCAGCGGCGGAACTCGGCTTCGCCGCCGTGGCGCGCTGGCAGTTGCTTCTTCTTCTTCTTCTGCATCCCATCGCCAACTCGCTCAGGGGGGCGGCGGCGCAGGCGGGTCGAGCGGCGGCTCGGTCCGCCCAACATCCTCGATGAAGGTGACGACCTTCGTCGCCGGGCCGCCGAGGACGTCGACCAGGCGAGGGTCGACACCCCAGCGGCGGCGGCGGGCCGCCTCATAGGCCGGACAATCGGTCAGTAGGTGCGCCGCGCTGTCGGGCTCCCCGCACGCGGGGCATTCGTCGTCGGCTTCCGGGCCAATCTTGTGGAGCGTGTCACGGGTCAGCGGTGATGTGCCGGTCCTCAGCTGGGACAGCGTCACCGACCCCAGCGCGCCAGGGAGTCGTGGCCAGGCGTGGGGTCCGGGTGCGGGTGGGCAGCAGTTGCCCTCTGTCGCGACAGCTCTCGGACATGGCGCGTGACGGCGGCCCGCGCACTCGACAGGTCGATCGGTGCGCTGTCTTGGTCGCCCGCCGTGGCCTCGCCAGCCAGGCGGTCGGCGGTTTCGTTGCCGTCCAGCCCGGCATGGCCTGGCACCCACTGGAGCACCGTCTCGGTGCCGTTCTCGGCGAGGGTGCTCAGCACTCAGCAGCCTCCACACCTCGGCGGCCAGGGCCATGGTCTGGTTAGCTGGGCCGCGGCCGAGTAGTTGGAGCCCAGACCTTGAGTCGGTGAGGAGGCGGACCGACTTGGTCGATGCCAACTCCCCGTCCCCCAGGCCGGCCACAGCCGCGAACGCCTCGCGCATGGCGGTCAGTTCTGCTCTTAGGCTGGAGCAGACCGCCCCTGCAGGAGCGCGCACGGTCCCTTCTCTGTTGAGGTGGTGGAACTGGATCAGCGCCTGCGCCGCCCTGTTCCGTCCGCCGCGAGCCGAGCCGTCCGACCAGATAGTGACGTCCGGGTGCGGGAGCTCTGCAATGGCTCGCAGGGCAGCTTCCCTGCGGACTGCAGGCGGGTCCGACCGGCAGGTGGCCACGGGCAGGTCCACCCTGAAGGTGATGCCGCCGCGGTGGCCCAGCCATGGCGGGTCGCAGCTGTAGAACGCCGAACCTGTAACACAATAGAATTGCAATTGTAACAAAGACCTGCATGGTCAGCACACATCTGCAGTGACTGTCATCCCAAGTTGGTATGAATTGGCACAAAGTTGGGTCATGGTAGCAGACGTAGCACAAGCTGTTGTGATATGTCATACCGTAGGACTAGGTCGTAGGTTGTAAATTTTAGGTTTAAGGCTGTATGTTGTAGGTCAGGTCAGGTAAGGTTTGGTTAGAAAGACCCATTCTCGTGCATCGGGCAGCTTGTGCTACATCTACCTTACCAATACCCAATTTGGATTCCCAAAATTGATGGCAAACAGGCTTTTTGTATAACAAGTGTGGTTAATTGTTCTAATCCCCGCTGCAATGTGAGGGTAACTGCTTTTCTACAATCACAAAATTTGAATTCATATAGGTAGGTGTTTACATGTTGATGTTCAGAAAATGATACAAAATATGACACAATTATAGCTGCAACTGGATAGTGGATACCAACCTCAACTAAAAGTTTCTGCAGCCTTATAACCTAACAAATGACTAAATTGCCAAAATAAATCCCTTAGTACAATAGCTTGACTCTAAAATAACAGAAATTTAGCATGCAGACCCTGAAATGGAGGGTTTATGAAAAGCAACAAAAATAAACATTCACTAATATCAATATGTTGTTATAAATTTCATATGTAGCATAAGCGCCAATACTGCCTTCATTTACAATGTTGCTACTGTTTTCCACTCACAAACGCTGCCCTCCGTGGACAGCAGCAGCAGCAATGAAACGTCACCCGTGGTGTGACATCATCACCCATGACGTAATGGAAATCCAGTTGTTACCAAGGCCCCCGACAGGTGTGCGGTTGTTATTTATTTTTGTTTTCGGCAGGAAGAGACATCTAATAATTTCGAAGAGATTACTTTTTTGCTATTAACACGCTCAGAAGATTGATTGAAAATGTGACGAGATGAAAATATTCAAAGATGAAGTGAAAGTCAAGTAGCAAGAGGTTGTTGTCGCAAGTATAAATTGAAATAGGTAGATAGGTATGGAAGTGCATCTATATAAATCATATCGCCAATGAATGAATACCAACTGAGTTTATTGGTGGTTTATTGGTTTCCCAAGTCCCAGCTGGATCATTGTAGACAGTGTTTGATTGAATCAGAATGCAAACTTCATGCTGGATTTACCATGTTCTAATTTAGTTATGTTCACATAATAATACAGCAGTACCTATAGGTATGTAACTGGTTCATCTTCAGTTTAAAATGTCATTGATATTTGCAACCATGTGTTTTGTCAGATTAATTGGAAATTAAAGTTTGACTTGCATGCTGAGTGGCGAGCTTTCTGCTTTGTGCACCAAGTTTGATGTTGTGCCCATGCTCATAATGATAATTTATTTCTGTGTTTAGTTAATGAAACGCCATCTAAAATGGAAGTGTAATATTATTATTCAATATCGAAATTTAATGTCAATATTCTAGGATTAAAGCAAAAAACAGTGGCCTTCCTTCTGATGTTTGTGAGATGTACCATAATTGAATATCAATATGAAGGGGCTAGCTTGTATTTCCTGGTCTAATGTCTGCTGTTGAAGGTCCTGCTTCAATCAATGATAGTGCCTACTTGCCTGTCATGCATTGAAAATGGTGCAGTGTTTCAATACATCTGTGAGAGCTGAAAGTTGTCTGGGAGAATGTGCCAAGGTGGATCAGAGTTTGTGCATTGCAACCAGAATAGGAATTGAGACTCTGGAAGACCATTATCAGGCGTGAATTCTAACACTGAACACTTCTTCTAGGCTCCAAAACTTGATTGTCATAATCTTTGTTATTTTATGCCAAAACCAATGAATGAATTTCAGTTTTACATGTGGTGTGTGCAGCTTCCAGCCAGCAGGAAATGCATTTCAAAATGAGCTATGGTTGACTTCATTCTTTCTGACCCCATCACACTTCCATAACATATCATGAGTCATGAAGAAAGAGCAACATTATTCATTATTACGAAATATGTATGCTTTTATTCATCTTGCCATGGTCCAAGCATGCACGTATTTACTATCAATGCACATGACAGAACAGATAACATCAGCTCGTCAAACACATACCACACGTATCAGGAGTCTACTGTTATTCTTTGAAAATAAGCCTATCCATGAACACCTTGATAAAATGCTTGGCAAACCTAATAAGTGCTTGTGGTTATGACAAAGGTGCTTGCAGAATCAATTCATAACCAAACTACGGTAACAATAATAATAGCTGTTTTCTCTTGCTTTTTTCCATTTCAACTCGGTTCATTCTTCATTTAGGTACAGTCATCTCTGGAATACCTATTTATCACACATTTCAATCCATCATCTGATGAAAACAAAAAATAAAATAACCAACGCTCACTAACTCCTCATCTCAATCTCTAAATATCTCAATCTCATCACATTTTCCACCAATCTTCTGAGTGTGTCAATGTCAAAAAAGTAATCTCTTGACTCTTCGCAATTGTGAGCTGTCTTTACCTGTCGAAAACAAAAATAAATAACAAACGCACACCTGTTGGCAGCCAGCCAGCCCAAACAATTACCGGGGTTACATGAGCAAGTAAATGCGTATCAGGAACGGATTTTCCTATTCGCTCACCATTGTAGTCCGTTTGTAATGCGTATTAACTCTGCTCATGTAACCCCGAGCAATAACAAAGACCGAAGATACCAATGCGTAAATACAATTTGATTTAGTAGCCTTGCGATAATTCAGTTTGTATAAAGCGCGCAAGCACTGTCTCATAATTGTCCCTACCAGCCGCTAGACGCACTCGCTGCGGCAGGAATGTTTCTCAAGTCACGTGATAAACCCGAGGGATTTATATTGAAAGTCAGCATACCCAGCGGTAGGTCACGTGTTTTTTGCCCATCTTCTCTACAGAAGTCCCACCGTGATTCTTGTGGGGATAATCAGTGACACATACATTTTTACAAGCTAATTTGCTGTTTTCTTCTCTTGGGCCATAGGAAGGTGAATGTGAATTTTGATTGCTTTTCTTGGACGGTTGGACACTGTGACACTGTGTCAGGCTTCTGACTTGAGGTATAACAGAATTTGGATTACGGTGGAAAAATATTCTTTGATGGTTTCTGAGACTTAACTGAAGTGGAATTAAAATGGAAAGTTTGATTTTTTATAAGGCTCATTAATTAGGGGACAGTTTCATAGCACCCAAGCTTATCCTAGGCAGAGCTTGTTGCACGTTCTTAGACCTCTATCATCTGATTAACCCTCTAGTGCCCCCGGTATCATATCTGTAAGTCAATTTGCAGAAAATTCGCCTGCTAATCATAGAGGTGAAAATTGTTGAAAACCCTGTTGTATCAGAAGTGGTACGTCCTGGCAACCACCTGGTGGCAAAATTTTTAAGTAATGATTTCTCAGTTTCCCACCAGGTGATTTTGAAGAGGGTCAGTTTGTCCTTTGCCGAAAATCAATTTGAGATGCAAGTGTAAATTTAGGCATTTAGAAAACAAAAAAATTAGTTATTTGGAAAGAAACTTGGTATACTGTGAGACAAATGTTCAACATCATATATCATAGTATGTTGCAAAACATCGCAACTTTTTCAGGGTCAAAGATATGGACCCCCATTTTTGGGGATGCTATATATGATACAGTGGGCATAGCACTCCAATATTTTCTATGAAATTTTCGCCGCTGCAACATACGGTGTGCCAATACCATAGTTTTCTCAGGTGATAAGCATTGCAATGGCCTGTGAGTCATTGCAAATGACGATGGTACAAGATGCATAAATTTGTGAAGTTCGCACCTCTTGCGCCAGATAACTCTATTTCGCTCCAGACTTAAAATGTCATAACGATATTGGTACGCTTATGCCGCCTCTCATCCTTGTCAATCTTCCAACATCTAGCTTTCTATGAGTGGCCTTACATGCCTCATACATCTCGACTTTTCTAACGCTCATAGGAATCTGGTTTTCCAACTGTTTGACGATGACAATAGTGAACTTTTTGATCTGCAGGACACTAGCAGACCATATCTTCTTAACCACGTTAGGAATGACATGCTATCGATGACAAGCTTGTTGATTTCAAGGAACGATTATCCGTGCGAGCATTTATACTCGTGAAACCAAAAATTGAGACTTGATGTTAGGGACAGGAGGATTTCGCGGTCTCTTGCACAATTTCGATATTCCAACAGGGGTTGTGGACGGGCTTATTTATGTCTTGTGGGTCTATGTGTTATCTGGGCATGGCTGAAGACTTGCATTAGCAGCCAGCCAGCATTTTTCATTCATATTGGAGAACGACTCACCATTTGTTTGCGATTCAAATCTCCTCCGTTCATCCCAGTATTAAGAGGTTGAATGTGGAGTGGAAAACTATATCGTCATCTTCAGAGGAAGCTGGCTAAACGGGCTCGCCATGAAGACAGACTCCGGACCGAAGGGCGTGGTTCCTTTGATTTCCTATCTAAGAAGTAGGCAACCATGCACTGCTGCCAGGTTCCAGCAGGTGCCTGACACCTGGCAAGCATTTTCACTGCCAGGTATGTCATTTGTTGTCATATATTGACATATACCGCCAACTGTGGTAGCTGAGTGCCACTGAACAAAAAGGATTTACATATAGGTACTAAAACATGGATACTACTTTTGTACTGACCATAAGAACCAGAGCCCTGATCGGCGGCCGGCTAGTACTCTTGCCCGCGCTCACATACGTGCACGTTACCCCGGCAACGGGCTATTGACCAATGAGAAGCGAGAAAAGTGTTACGTCACTGCGATTTTTCATATACCTGTGCCCCCCGGACGTGACGTAGTGTGCTCGCGCGCGTGCAGGGTCTCTGCGATCGAAAAAGAGCGCTAGCAGCGCGCCACTCGACGCCGCAATTGTCAAAAGTAGCGTGTTAGTATGCTTTATTATGAATGATGTGTGTAAAAGTGAGTTTTTATGTTGTTTATTTGGAGGAAATGGTTGGAATAAATTAAGTTATTTTTATTTCTGTTGGTTGGAGTTTTTATTAAAAAGATTTCGGTCTGTACCATTGACATTTACTGAAAATACCTTCGCTTGAATAAATTGCAGATATTTGGCAACTGAAGTGTTAGGTAAGCCTAAATCATATGTAAAAAGGTAAGAGACACCCTGATTATCATTTGAGAAACGAAAATATATGAATTTTCTTTATAAGACTCGCTCAATATCCTACTCCGCGGTTTATGCCCCGAGGGTGTCCGAGGGTTCCCGTTAGTTTGTCTTTGGCGCTCGGCTCGCGCGCGAGCCGACGTCACCGCCTGTGACGTCGGCTCGCGAAATACGTCATACCCTGCACACAAAATAGCCGGCTGCCGAACAGCGCTCAGTATAACGCCTTATGGGGCGACTAACGGAGCGAGCGAGAGGTTGAGCCTTGCACGTGCGAAATTTCGAGGGGGTACCTCCAACTGACTTGTGCACGGCACCCTACTCACCGATCTCTAGCGATGTGCCAAATTTGAGCACAATCGGCCCAGCCGTTCTCGAGATCTGGAAGCGGCACCCTGCACGTGCGCACGTGCAAAATGGGTCCCAACTGACTTGTGCACGGCACCCTACTAACCGGCCCCTAACCGCGTACCAAATTTGAGCGCAATCGGTCCAGCCGTTCTCGAGATCTGGAATCGACCCCTGCACGTGCGCACGTGCAGCAGCACCCCAACTCTGGCACATGGATATGCAGTGCCTAGTGGGTGCCTACCTACATGCCAACTTTCATCGCAATCGGCCAAGTAGTTACCGAGATATTGCAACAATTACAAAACTGACACCTCTTCGTTTTGCACGTGGCACGTGCATAAGGGGTCACCCACATGCATAGGGAATAGTCCAATACTTGGTAGAAGGAATGAAGCTACCCTACAAAAATTACCGCGTGTAAATCGGTCAAGTGGTTGCTGAGATATAAGCCTCGCAAAAGCGTCCGCACGGCCGGCCGGCCGCTCATACTCAGAAATTTCCGTTATTCTACGTAAGACTCCGCTCGCTTCGCTCGCTCCGTAATAAAAGTTTAAGTGCGGCATTGCGTAATGCGTATGCTCACCTCCATATGAGGTCAATGAATATTGTGCAAGTTCCTGCCGATCGGTGCACAGTTACCTGTACCTTTGTTGTCTGACACGTACAACGGTTATTGCACTGGTCAGTGCGCGGCTGTTATACTGACGCCGATGACATCAGGACCGCACGACCAGTCAAAATACTAACTGACGATTCACAGGCTGAGAGTTTCAGTCACCCGAGATTGTCCGGCTATCATGAAGATAAACCAACATCGTCTTTGGCATTGATCCCGGTCCGTCGGCACGCTGTCCAGCACTTTGTATCAGAACTGCTTCACTTCAACCACTTACCGCGAGCCAACTGTAATGTCTTCATTTCTATATCAAGTATGCATAACGCATCTACGTTTGAGAAGCACGGCTCACATGTCTAAATTATGAAAAAAATTGCACAGGTGCAACGCGCTGTATCGTGGAAATTGAAGGAATAGAAGGCACTCGTAAATAGATGCCTATGATTAGCGTTGTTCCCTGAGCACCGACGGAAAGGACATTTTGATACCAGAAGGATGCCAATGAAATATTAAGAAATGTTCTGATCAAAAGTGCACAGTAAAGGACGTCTTGTTGGCATTTTACACATTTTAACTGCCACTTTTATCACTGAAATTCTTAATAACATATATTTTCTCATCTATGTCTTCACTTCCTTCTGTGTGGTCTGATACCACTAAAAATTACCAAGTGGAATGCCCAATGTATCATATTTGATGCAAAATTTATTTCCGAAATTTGAACTGCGAAAAAATTTTTGACTCCAGATTTCGAACAAGGGACCCAAAATGAATCATACGTCACAAGGGGCTAATTTTAGGAACCGTGGAACTATGTGTGGGCATTAGAGGGTTAAGCCATGCAGGTCTAGTACCTTCCTGGGTGCTTTTTATGCCAGATAAAGTTTAATGGTGCGATCAAAGGCGCCCATAGTTTGTTCCACTTTGTTACAGTGAACTGGCTGCAGTTGATCAACTACAGACAGTCCTACAGATCATCTGGATATTCATATAGGTGTTTTCTGCAGCAATTTAAACCTGAGGGGGGGGTGGAGGGGGGGGGGCTTTTGCCTGTGCCACCTGGAGTCCTAGACTATCAACTGGAACAGAGGTCAAGCCAAGGTATCTATGAGATGCACAGTGCTTTGTTTTAAAGATCTCTTCATTAACACTGCATGCCACTTTCCCAGAGCAGTAAAGGGGCCATGTTGTAATGCATATAATAACCCTTTTTCCAGCAGGGCATAAACTTTTGCAAATGCAGACCCCTTAGCAAGGCATGAATTAGTCATGGTTGTGAATCCCAGCTGTGAAGACTTGCATACTTTATTGATACAAGTATACCTACCTAATTACTGCAGGGGTGTTAACAAAGCTAGGTTAAATTATACACTGAGACTGAGTAAGACCATAAACATGAGTTAGGTACATGAAGCTATTTAATTTTCCTCATAATTTAATGCTTCATAGGCAAGACTTTCTTTGGATGACAACTGGGGATCCACAAAATCAAACCCAAGGTCTGCATGAGCAGATATCTCTTGATGTCTGTTGTTAGCTGCTTTGACCACTTGTAAGCATCCTGCATCCCTGGGAAAGTGTCACATTCCAGGCTAAGAATAAGCATCTGGCAGAATCAGATAGCAGTTGCGAGGGTCTGCCCAATAAGCTCTGCCTAGCATGGTCTCTGGACTCCAGCTGCTGAAGTCCAGCACTGTCAGCTGTTCATTTAAACATTTAAACTTAATTAGAAAGCCATATGCTTGACTGTGTTAATTGGTTTGCAGTAAAAGGTCCTGAATTTTGTAATTTCGTGTTTGAGGTGCGATGCTGCTTTCTTAGTTCAAATCCCTACATCATAAAATAATATTCCATCTAGTTATGAAAAGTTAAAGTGTGTTGGAAAACTGATATTATTGAGATTTAATATTCATGATTGTCAACAGCCAATAGCCTCTACTGTTTGTCCCTGTGACTTGTGCTGAACAGAGAGCAGAGACTATTCCACTGACTCGTAACTGGATGTTGTATGCAGCCAGCATCCAGTGACAATGTCGTCGCACCGGCACCGCTACAAGAACGAGGGTCTCGACTCTGCCGAGCTGCGGCGCCGCAGAGAGGAGGAGGGAGTCCAGCTCAGGAAACAGAAACGTGACCGACAGCTCAACAAGAGGCGCAACGTGCCGCCGCTGCAGCCGGCCGCGCCGGACGAGCCCGCGCCGGCCGTTGCCCACGCCCAGGTCAGTCAGGGCCAGGCCGGGCCCGCCGGCCGCCGCCAAAGATACCTACACATGTGTCTATTGGAGGCTCGCCGGCCACCGTCGTAGATGCAACTGTCGGTGTCTGTCAGGGCCCACCGGCTGCCGTTGCTAATACGCCTGTTGGCGTTGACTGTGTGTTTAGCGCATGGCTGTGTGTGTTGCGGTGGATGTTTTGCGTGTTTCCGCCAAGATCACCGGTTTTTCGGCGCGGCAGCCGGTACCGGGTGCCGGTGTCTGTGCATCCCACTGCTTCTGTCGGTTGCTAACCTGTCTCCTCCCTCTGCAGGAGTCTCAGTGCGTGACGCCAGAGCTGGTAGCCGCGCTGTACAGCCCGGACCCGGAGCGACTGGTGGAGGCCGCCCACCGCTGCCGGAAGCTGCTCAGCCGCGAGCCGAACCCGCCGATTGACGAGGTGATCCGGGCGGGCGTGGTGCCGCGCTTCGTGCAGCTGCTGCAGGCCGACCACCAGCGACTCCAGGTGAGCCGCCGATATACAGCTGAGCTGGCTCGGACGTGCAGCGCTCTCGTCTGACTTGTACCTGCATGATGCATCACGTTGTGCTATTTGGTTAACAGTCCTGTGCTCCTCGGATTTCGGTAATACAAGTGTTAGTAGGTGTTTCTGCACTTATCGGAGTGACCTGTGATCTCCTGGTGACTTGTGACCTTCCCAGTGACCTGTGAGCTTACCATTGACTGGCGACCTCCCCAGCGACCTGTGACCTCCCCTCTGACCTGTGACTATTTCCTCCCGCAGTTCGAGGCGGCCTGGGCGCTGACGAACGTGGCCTCGGGCTCGTCGGCTCAGACGCGCTGTGTGGTGGACGCCGGCGCCGTGCCGGTGCTCATCAGCCTGCTGCAGTCGCCGCACGATGAGGTGCGCGACCAGGCCGTCTGGGCGCTCGGAAACGTGGCCGGAGACTCGCCCGAGTGCCGCGACCACCTGCTCGACCAGGGCCTGCTGGGGCCGCTCACAGAGTGAGTGACAGGGACTGGGGCGCTGGCAGGGAGTGATGGCACTGGGGTCGCTCACAGATTGAGGCACAGGAACTAGGGCCGCTCACAAAGTGAGTGACGGGGGCTGGGGCCGCTCACAGGGAGCTACATAAGCTGGGGCCGCTCACCGAGTGAGTTTCGGGGACCTGGGCCGCTCACAGTGTGAGTGACGTGGTGGGACCTCTTACAGAGTGAATGATGGGACTAGAATCGCTCATAGAGTGAGTTAAGGCCTACGGGGACTGTGGCCAATCACGGAATGAGCGACTGTGTCGGGGTCGGGACTGGGGCCCTCACATGGTCTTGGGCCACACTGACAGTTGGTGTTACTGAAGGTACCCTTTCTATCCTTTTTGACAGTCGATGTGACGGGTCGAATCCTCTCTGACAGTCGATGTGACCGATAGGATCCTCTCTGACATTTCGCCTTACCGACAGGATTCTCTCCGGTCCCACTCTGCGCCTGTCGCTGAAGAGGAACGCCGTCTGGACGCTGAGTAACCTGTGCCGTGGCAAGAGCCCGCCGCCCGACTTCTCCAAGGTGTCTCCGTGCCTGCCGCTGCTGGCGCGTCTGCTGACCGACCCGGACGGAGAGGTACTGGCCGACGCGTGCTGGGCGCTGGGATACCTCTCGGACGGACCCAACTACAAGATCCAGGCGGTGCTGGATGCCGGCGTGTGCCCCCGACTGGCCGAGCTGCTTCTGTGAGTTACGGGACTGTGGGGAACTGTGGGCTAGGACTTATTATTTGTCAGCGTGATTTTAACGACAGGCTCAGCCTCTCAGTGCCCAGTTGTGGATGTAATTACGAGTGCTCGGGAAATTCAGATGCTTTCACCGTATGTATCATAGTCCAACAAAAAATTAATGGCAGGTCGACGTGTTAATTTGACATCCGCCTTGCGTCTCCCATAAAGAGCGTCCACGCTGTTGCAACACATGATCACAATGTTCCAATGTCCCCGCTCCGTCACAGACGGTATATGAATTCCCAATCCGTTATGCTGTATCATGATCGTCCCCCCTCGGTTACAGGCACGGCGAGCAGCGTGTGGTGAGCGCCGCGCTCCGGGCCGTCGGTAACATCGCCACCGGAGACGACATGCAGACTCAGGTGATCCTGGGCTGCCAGGCACTGCCCTGCCTGCGCCATCTCCTCACCAGTCAGAAGGAGAGCATCAAGAAGGAGTCGTGCTGGACCATCAGCAACATCACGGCCGGAAACCAGGCTCAGATACAGGTGAGCAGCGGCAAACCGGGCTCAGGATAAAGGCAAGCAGCGGGAAACCAAACTCAGATACAGGTGAGCGGCGGGAAACCAGGCTCAGATACAGGTGAGTTGCGTGAGACAAACCTCCGATATATCTTCACAGCGGGGAACCAGGGCCAGATACAGGACGTGAAAGGAACCCAGGCTCAGATATAGGTGAAAAAAACCAGGCTCAGATACAGGTGAGCTGGAAACAGGATCAGATATAGGTGAACACTGAACAGCGGGAACCATGATCAGATACAACGAGAACCATGCTCAGATGCAGGTGAGCAGCGTCGTAGCTGGAAACCAGACTCGGGCAGTGTCCCAAAATTGTGTTTGGGCTTAGGTGTCAGAGGGAAGTTCCTTTCCAAAAATGGGGATAAGAGTGGAAAATTGCCAGTCAGATAAGGCCCAAAGAGAGTGAAAAGGGATCAACAGCATAAATTTATTACAAGTGTGGTAAAATGTAAGATGTAAAAAGACCATCCAAGCAAAAGTTTTTGTTGGTAAAATTGGGAGTGGAAAATTGTTCTGAAAAATTAAAGATGAGAGTGAAAAAAGATTTTTATTTGGATGTAGTTTCCCACCCAAATCACCACATTTTGGGACACTGGACTCGGGTACTGCGGAAAACCAGGTACAGATACAGGTGAGCATCGCCCCGGTGTGTAATTGGTCGGGCTGCGATAAAAAGATTAAGTCGTAGATAGGTAATTCGGTACTCACGTGGGTTACTACTCCCTATAATTATAGTTCGTTTTTCTTAAGTTCGACCCTCACTGTAAACATCTTTTTGGAAACAGCACGAGAATTGCTAGCTGAATTACTGAGAAAACTGGTTAGCGCACTTTGTACTGGAGATATGAATTAATATTTTCAAAATAAGTTTCTAACACCAATGATATACTGTTACGCTAAACGCCGTTGCGATTTATCAATTAAATTACTTATACTTTCTGACAATTCTTCGATCCTTGTGGGGCTGCAAATACCGAGCTGCGAGTCTGGGAAAAAGAAGCCAGGTAGAAATAATTTTGATACAATTGATCGTATGCGAAATTATTGTGCGCCAACGAGTTTTCTCAGTAATTCAGCTAGCAATTCTCGTGCTGTTTCCAAAAAGATGTTTACAGTGAGGGTCGAACTTAAGAAAAACGAACTATAATAATGAGTCGCTACGAAGCCACACTGCTATGCTTTAACGGTGTACCACCACTGTCCGTCACGCCGCTCTGTGCCTATGTCCGACAGGCGGTGATTGACGCCGACATCATCCCGGCACTGGTGGAGGTCATTTGGACAGCCGAGTTCCGCACCCGCAAGGAGGCCGTCTGGGCCATCACCAACGCCACCACGGCTGGAACGCCCGAGCAGACGCGCTACCTCGTCGAACAGGTACAGACGAGGGGAGGGGACTGGCGGAGAGCAGTTGTTAGGGTGTATCACTGTATACCAGCGCCGTTCTCAGATAGAGTGGTCTTCCTGACTGTCCCGGGCACCTACTGTGTACTGACAGTATGTTGTGTGTTATATTGCTATTGCACAGAGTAAGCTGATCCAGTCCTCAGTACGGTGTGATTACGGAGCGAGCGAAGCGAGCGTAGTCTTTCCTTAGATTAACGGAAATTTCTGAGTATGAGCGGCCGGCCGGCCGTGGTCACGCTTTTGCGAGGCTTATATCTCAGCAACCACTTGACCGATTTACATGCGGTAATTTTTGTAGGATAGCTTCATTCCTTCTACCAAGTATTGGACTATTCCCGATGCATGTGGGTGACCCCTTATGCACGTGCCACGTGCAAAACGAAGAGGTGTCCGTTTTGTAATTGTTGCAATATCTCGGTAACTACTTGGCCGATTGCGCTGAAAGTTGGCATGTAGGTAGGCACCCACTAGGCACTGCATATCCATGTGCCAGAGTTGGGGCGCTGCTGCACGTGCGCACGTGCAGGGGTCGATTCCAGATCTCGAGAACGGCTGGACCGATGGCGCTCAAATTTGGCACATGGTTAGGGACCGGTTAGTAGGGTGCCGTGCAAAAGTCAGTTGGGCCCCATTTTGCACGTGCGCACGTGCAGGGTGCCGCTTCCAGATCTCGAGAACGGCTGGGCCGATTGTGCTCAAATTTGGCACATCGCTAGAGACCGGTTAGTAGGGTGCCGTGCACAAGTCAGTTGGAGGTACCCCCTCGAAATTTCGCACGTGCAAGGCTCACCCTCTCGCTCGCTCCGTTAGTCGCCCCAAAAGGCGCTATACTGGTTTTATCTTGGCCCTGTTCATGAACCCCGGCGGTCGCTGCGGCCGCTGCGGTCGCTGCGGTCAGCCGGGTTGTTACGTCACGAAAAGGGGCGGGGCTCGTGTAGTATGACGAATGTGTGGCGTCACCTTGCTGCGGCCGCTGCAATCTCTGCGGCCGCAATCCGGGAAAATCCAGCGACCCAGCGACCGCCGAGCCGCAAGAAAACTAATTGCACTGAACTTGGCGCACTGAAGTCAAATAGGCGCAAGCCGTGTTGTCATTGAGACGATTTTGTAAACAAATTATCTAGCGGTGTGCGTCAGTTGTAAACAATTGTCGGAAATTATTTCGGCAGCAGACGCTATTCATGGAACGCTGCTGCGGCCTAGTGAGTGATGACGTTTCAAAAATGGGCGGGGCTTAGAACCTGCGGCCGGCCGCAGCGACCGCAGACTTCATGAACAGGGCCCTTGTGTATCTTCGTCTCCACCCCATGTGTGTCTTATCTGTGTGACCTGACCTTGTCCGTCTGTCCGTCTCTCCGTGTGACCTGTCCTCACCCGTGGTCTGCCCAGTGGCCACGTGACGAGCTGACCCCGCCTACCCTCCGTCCCCAGCGCTGCATCCCGGCTCTGTGCGAGATGCTGGGAGTGCTGGACCCCAAGATCACCCAGGTGGCGCTGAACGGTCTGGAGAACATCCTGCGGGTCGGAGAACTGGACGCCAGGGAGTCGGGCCAGAACCAGTACGCCCTGCTGGTCGAGGAGTGCTGCGGTGAGTCATGCTGGTGGTATGAGTGTCTGTTTCTCTGCTGATGGTGGGGAATGCAGCGGGTGCTGAATGGGGACTGTGTATTGGATGCCGCCCGTGGAAGGGTGCAGTGTTGCCGCTTATCGTGATATTTTGGAAAGGCGATCGCTGTAAGGCAATTCCATATGAATGATGAGCCACAGCCTCTATGATAGCATCAAGCATTGGTGATTCATGTTTTTTTTTTTATAGAATATTTAGTTGTGATGCTACTGCTCCCACTGTTTCCCCTTCATCTTAAACGGGGTCTGATTTTGTGACATGTGACGTAGAAAAGCTTCATTCATCTTATCGCCTGTCGGCGTTGAGTGCTAACATGATATGGGTGTATCATCCCCTGTCTCCTGTAAGGCAGTCTGGTGTACTGTGCTCGTATCTGACCATCGTCTGTCCTGCCCATTCCCCTAGGACTGGATAAGATTGAGGCGCTCCAGACCAGCACCAACCAGGAGGTCTACCAGAAGGCCTACGACCTGATCGACACCTACTTCAGCGCTGACGGCGACGCCAGCGGCGCGGCCGAGCCGGAGCGGGCCACTGACGGCGAGTACCGAATGGCAGCTGCCCCCGCGGACAGGCCCATTCAGTTCTGAGGGGCGCGGGCCTAGCTCTGAGAGTCGGCGGCCGGGTTCAGCGCGAGGACCGCGGCGGGTAGGCCCAGTTAGTTCGGAGGGATGGTAGCCGGGCTCCTGAGGGTTGCCGGGCCTAGTGCCGAGGACGGCTAGGCCGCTGGGGCAGTTTGGAGCCCAGTGAGACTGCCTTTGGCGCAGCTCCGTCTGTCAAATTGGCCACCAGCGGCGGTAGGTTGAGCGGCCAACAAGCAGTTCGTACTCACTGGAACGGACGTCTCAAGAGCGGCGTGCGCTGGCAAATCCCCATTTGGTGCTACGAATCAGACAGGTAACTCCGTGATCGGATCAGGCTGGTGACTCGAACTATTCAAACGATATAGGCGGAATCTGCGGGTGCCCGATCAACTATCACTACCCATGGCAAGTAACCCACCTACGAAACTATTTACTCAGTTCTAACTCCCCTAAAACGCTGCAGCGAGGTATTCGGGTGAACGCTAGTGACATCTAGCCGGGATGTAACGGACCGGCAGTCTGGTTGAGGCATCCACTTGCCCCGACCAACGCGACTGTCGCTTTAACCGGGCGCGACGGCCGGTTGTTGGTCTGCGCGGCATCCCTCGCTGCGAATGTGGTGTGTGTCTGAGCGTTTGAGTGGCTGACTAGGATACCTCGAGGTGGCAAGAGCCGACGTCACTGCGGCGACCTCGCAAGATGCACGACTATGAGGCAACCACGCCCGACGGAGAATGCTTGCCGAGCTTCGGTGTCCCGCTGCCGTGCGCGATTCTTCTAGTTATTCATGACTCGGACAGACGGGTGACGTGACCGAGTCGGAAGAGCTGCCCGGTGGAGTGAGGGGAAGCCTCAGGGGATGCCAAACTGTGACGTCATCTGTCTGTGTGTGACGTCAGACGTGACAGAGCCGCCCACTGACTGTAACTGACTGTGATACGGTGCTAAGGCCGCCGACAGGCGCCACGACACACACACACACACACACACACATACATCCACGCTTACAACAGAGACGGACGATGTGACGTGTGGCCACCGGCGCTCCCGACTAGCCACGGGTAAAGACCCAGTGATGCTGGCTGTATAATACCCATCTATGTACTGTGTGACCTGGGGTACATAGGCTTTATGTGCGTGGTATCTTTTACTTATGTATAACGTTTTATTTACACCTAAGTATCGATTTATTTTGATGTAGAGGTTGCGACGAGCTGCTGCATCTCGCTTATTATTTTCTTTCAGCCGATAGCTGTGTGCAAATTTGTCTATAAGAGCGTGTGTAGTGCGTGTGGTGTCGTCCCGCCGCGGTATTGTGTGAGCTGCGCCCCTGTCTGTACCGTATGTGACGTGTGTCGGGCAGAACTGCCGTGAGAGCGACCTGGCGCCGTCAGGGACCTTCAGCTCTCCCCCGGCTGCAGTGCAATGAATGGGACTATGGCTGGGGAGATCGCAAGGTGCTTCTACACCCCCTAACCAGAGGATGGACGTCTCGCCGGGTTTTATTAATGCCAAGCTATGTAAACACACCGCTAGTTTCGCTGTGATTCGGGTCCCGATTGATATGTGGTACACTAGGGTAATGTTAATTGAAGCGGTCGCGAAGGATAACCGGCCGTCAGCTAATACATCGCCGTTCTCACGGTATCTCTGAGGGTGCTTTGTTTGGAATTGTGACCCTCTTTTATCGGGCTCTGTGTCGCGTGCTGTTGCCATAGAGTGAGAATATCGGGCGCAGGGGCAAAGTGGATGGCTGCCCTGAGGACCCTTCAGCCTTTATTGTCTGAGGTCGTGCATATTGTCATTGCTCGCTGCCTATAGATAGAACAAGGGCGTTGAACCTTCACGACTACTTAACAACTACACTGTGAACCTTGGTGTACTCTCAGGGTTTCTCAGGTGACCTTGCTTTGCCTGATGTCTCACTGGCTCCGTATGGATGAAACTTAAAGTCACTGGGCGATATAAGAATCCAGAGGAAAATAATGACATCGGCTGACTGACTGACGAACCCTGACAGGGACAAAGAACAAATAGCGGTGATCAGAGGGATACCCCACGGAGTCTGACAGGCATCTGTTAATAGCTCTGTCTCGAAAGGAAATCACAGAGTGATCCCCCTGGAGGGGCCAATCGTCACGGCGAGTGGGGTCTACGTTCGGGGAGTATTAGAGCGATTGGAGGGTCTCATGATTCCAAGGGAGATCCAGGCCTGGGGACTGCGGAAGGGGTTCACCGTGACTTCACTTCCTAGATTGACGGCCTGGAGGGGGAGCGTATTTACAAATTGCAACCGAGCTCCGCCGTGGGGTAAGGTGGGCAGGGGTTTTCGCACTACGTCTGCGGTTGAACTACCATCTGTGGTAGAAACTTCAGGATGATGGCGCGTTTCATACGAAATCTGGCGCAATGTTTGTTTGCTTCTGAACTTGTACTGTTATTGCTGTGAATTCTTGAAGTTGAAGTGGGAGTGTTTCAAGAACAATTTGTGGATTATTTGAGTTTCTTTATATAAACATAGAATATAGGACGAAACATTGTGTGGAAACTGCAAATACTGATATGATCAATTACTTAGTTTGGGAATTGATACACATTTTGTAGAGGTTTGTAACAAACCTCAAGCCTGTCATGATCTGAAGCTGTTGTAACAAATCAAAATTGCTTTAATATTACATAGTACCTTGTTGAAAAGACTGGAGCATGGTTCAAGATGATGTGTAAAAATTCAAGATTTGTGCGAAAGCTTATGACTGAAAAGCGAAAACAGTTCTATATGATGGCTCAATCAAACGTGGAAACGGACGACAAAAGTAGAGTTTCAACATTCCAGCATGTGAGAATAACTTCAGAAATTCATAGCTCTTGTAGTATTGCATTCTTCTTATGTACAGTTATAGGTTTGGATAGGGTATTTCAAAATCAATGTGTCAGTTGAGATATAGATGGATTGCGGACAAAATTTAGAATCATTGCATGGTAGATAGGTACTTGTTCGGTAAAAAAGTATGTGATGAATGCCATGAGAAGGTTCTTTATGGTCTTTTTTATGGTTTTTTATGCTTTTTCTATATATGGTCATTGTTGTACCTACAAAAATGCAAGCTTACTAGCACCTAGTTTCTGAATCAAATTGAAAGTATTTGCTATGTATGTAAATGTGTACCTGCAAACTATGTCAATAAATTTGTGTGATGTTGACCAGAGAGCTTTATCATCCTGGACATTTATGTTGCTTCTTACATTAGGCGTTAAGCATAGTAATTACGGATGAACTTTGTGCCAATATCTTCAATACACAATGTATGTAGCATGTCTACAACCCTCACTGATCCTGCTATAGCTATAGGCATTTGGCACCAGCAAGACCAAGGGCATGAACTTCACAGTTGCACAACCTTTTGTCATGTACCTCCAGTCCACCAGTCACTTTTTTACTTAAGGTGCACATAGCAGTGCACAAAACAATGCGCAGAGGGCCTACACAAAAACAACATGATTAGTGTGCACTATGCACAGCATTGTACCCTGATTATTTGAATATTTTGATCACTCCAGTCAACAGCCAGGAGACAATTATTGAATATCACATTTAGCATACATCACTTGTCAAACAAGAGCATAATAACACACATTTTGACAAGCAATCATGGTAGTATTCCAATAAGTTTGACAGTCACCTCCCTGGGCATCATTTTTCCAGGAAGGTACCTCTGCAGGTGTTGTGGTAGGCTAGGCTGAATTGGGTTAAGTTAGGCGAAGTAAGGTGGTTAGGACCAAGGCGTTAGGACCAGGTCAGACCATATGGCCTGGTCAGGTTGATTTTAATCTTTCATTCTAATTTGACATATATACCTATTACCTATGTTTTTGCTCCAGCCTGAATTTCATTAGGTTAAGAGTTAATTTTGTTTTGTTTTTTTATCTGTCTTGTTTTGTGTTTTTGTCCCTTATGTTTTGCCCCATAGGCAAGGGTGGAGCTTTTCCATGGAAGGTGGTGGAGCAAAAGCCGTCAAACCTGCGATGCCCAGTTGTTCAGTAAAGTTAGATAATGTGCAACACTGAATCAATTTTTTTAATTACAGAACTAACATTATGAATTACACAGACATTTCAAAGCTCCTCAATGCGAGCAAGATTGGTTTGCTGAGCAATGAAGTTCTACAAATCAGCAAAAGTTGGAGGGGTAGAACGCTAATTTTTTTCTCTGACAGCTTCATAACATGTTACGAAGGCACCAAAACTACTTCAGTACAGGGTGTAACGAAATTGTCCGGACATCCATTTTTTCGCCATATCTGTTTGCACAATTTCCTAATCCTTTCTGAGGTTAGAAGTGGGAATATTAGATGAATACGTGCCTCTGCTATCGGTTTTCAGCTCAGCAGTGACCTGACCTTGTCACGTGACTATTGCTCTGAGTAGGAGTCGATTCACAGACGGGTTCACATGGTAGTTTTCGTCTAAGGCAGTTGCGAGAAAGGGATACAATCTCTCCTTTCGTGGTAAAATTGCATGGCGGCATCCACGGCGTCCTGAGCCAGAAGCTGGTCTGCCAGCAGCTGGACATCAGCAGCAGCCAATTGCACATCTGCCTGAGGCGTAATAAGCTGGGACTTCGGTGGCAGACTCATCCCGGTCGCGACCACAAAAGCCGCCCTTTTTCAAGTGGTGAGGAGAGTCATCAAGATAGCGGCAAGGAAACGGCACCAATCAATCCGCAAATTGACTCGAATTCTTACCAAGTAAGATAATAAGAGGTCCCATATCATGGTTCACCGCTACCCGCCCTTTAACTTGGTTCTAGTGCCCTTCAATCTGGAAAAGACAGCGAAACTGACACTGACGGGAAAACAGCCAGTTCACCACATTTCGCCTCACTTCAGGTCGCGTCCACTGGTCGAAGAAAGATAACGGTGAGGTGGTCTGGTTGGATGGGTAGCCGTTTGAGCTGTATTATAGAACCGTCAAATCGGCCATGTATGGGCGGCCAGCCGCTCGAACTTGCTGGCCTTCGCCGCCGTCAAACATCCGGATAATATCCAGATCTGAAGCATGTTCAGCTGCTTAGCAATGCTCCAATAGGACATAGTGTTACAGAATACCGCCATCAACGTCAAGTATTACCGGAGCAACATACTGGCCAATGAATGATTGGAGGCGCTCAACCAGACGGCATAGGAGGGCACGGTTTTTGAACGCGCACTGATGCCTGATTCAAGCCACGCTATCTTCATGCGGGGCGGCGCACTACTTAAAAGTCCCTAAAAGAACGGGAAGTGATGCTGATAGAACCTTCAATCATTCTGGGCTAACGGTTATGACTTGGAAAAAGTCGCGATCCCAATTCAATCGAAAACCTGTGGGCTCTTGTTCAGCAGGAGGTGCATGAAGGGCCACCCGCCATAAGCACCGCTCAACCGCAGGCACAGGTTTAGACGGCGTTGGTCCACATCAAAACCAGTGTGCTGGAGAATCCATTGGCTCATGGCTGAAATGCTCCAGAACATTCGCCACTGTGTTTGTGGCTACGTGCTCAGTTAAAAGAAAAAGTACCAGATTGTTTTGCTTTTTAATTACAGCGGGAAGAAAGGTGTCCGGATAATTTCGTTACACCCCCTGTAATGTTCAAATGGTTGCTAAATTCGAAATCAGCTCCAAAAACTAGCCTAGAAACATGTAAAACTCGAAAAAGTGAACCGAGGTCATCAAAGGTCATTGAGCTGATCTGACCTTCAGGTGACCTTGACACCCATGGGACCAGCATCATATCACATGTTTCAACGCTTGAAACCACGTGAAGACAGCAACCGCGCGGCTAATGCGAGCCGACATACGCCGAATCGCGATTCGGGCCAAACATGGTCTCGAGAAATAGGTCACAGGTCAAAGGTCATTTGGGTCAGGGTCATGAAATTTTCAGGGTATGTGTAAAATTGATAAAATCGGGGGTATTGAAAGTTTCGTCGCGATCGGACGGTTTTTACGCGAGTTACTCACGAAAAACCGATGGAGGGAAAAGCGCACCCAAAAAGGCAGAAATACGCACATGCGATATCCTATACTGCGAAAAAAGGTGCATCATTTTTGAACGTCACCGACAAATTGTAATTACCCCAAGCTCAGGCAGATGTATGGTAGAAAATACCCCAAGTTAAATACACTACGGCGGAAATAAAATACCCTACGGCGGAGCTCGGTTGCAATTTGTAAATACGCGGAGGGGGATCACCATCGCCAACCCAGCACCTTCCGCTATGACGCATTGGCGGGTCGATCCGGTAGCTGTAGTTGTCGCAATGTCCGTCAGAGGCGCTGCTGTGCCGAGCGAGTACCAATCACTGTCGCTATGACTGATAAAAATAATCCAACGTTATTCGTTATGTGTCGGATGTAGGCTTTGACATGGTAATTTATCGAGCAGAGAACTGGATAAAAGTTTGATATTCTCCAATTTTCCCCATTGACTGACAGGAAAATGCTGAGGTCACGGTACCGACCTGGCCTGACCTCTCGCTGGCCAGGAAAGGGGTAGGGGTAACGATTTCTCAAACAAGGGGTACGAGTTCGCAAACCCTTTACGATTTCTCGAATCTCACAATTCCTCGTAACGGGTTTGCGATAGAGAGCTGAAGGCTAGCATGCCTGACTTTTGCTAGACCTTGTAGACCTTGTAACAGCGATACCTAAGATAATTTCTTAGTAAGGTCAGCCGTCAGGTCACTGCTCCGTGACGTTGTAAGTGAACCTCTGCACGGTGCAAAAAAAAAAAAAAACCAAAGTCGCTGCGCCCTCAGTGCCAAGAAACATTTCGCAAGGGCAGGCAAGTTTCAGGGAGTAGCAGGGGATAGTGGGGCAAAGCGGCCGCCCGAGGCAAAGCGGCCACCCATCGTTTTAGCCCTTTGCAGCTGGCGTCAGCTCCGATGTATGGTTGCCAATTATACTTCTTTTCGCGGTTCACAGTCGTTCGATTGAGCTACACCGGGGTTTCCGGACCGGTGTAGCTCATTTTTTTCTGTGATACACGGAAAAGCATTTCTTGCTAGGTTACTAACTGTTTTTACGATTTTTAAGTTTTGCTGTGCCTATTCCATAACCGTTTGGAATTTTCGGCCATATTTCGGTCATTGGAACGAGACCGCATAACCGCGGCCTCGTTCATGCATTGTGTGGTTATCGTATAAGATGTCCTTTACCAAGCCTAATGCTTTTTGCCCCACTAACCCGCCCCCCATTGGGGGTTCTGGATTTCCACGCCCTGCTGGGGGGGGGGGGGGTTGAACAGTGAACACCCTCCTTTTAACTCGGCTCCTAGGCCACATAGCGATACGCGGAAGACGGCGTTCGAAAGAGCGCCAAAAATGATGAAGAAATCACGTCGTTCCCTTTTTTGGTCAGGTCAAAGGTCAGGTCACGTCCAGAGGTCATTGCAGGCAAAATTTCGCCGGTTTTCAGGTCGAATGTCGACAATTTCCAAGAAGTCCACGCATAACTCGGAAACCAATAGAGCTACAGCGCCGCGGAGAAGCGCATTCGATAGCCCTATTAATGCCCTTTCTGATTAATTTTCTCAGATTTAATCATTTAACCCTCGCCGGCCGGGGGGGGGGGGCGGGGCGGGTGCCGTCCCCCACATAGGTTTTTTTCGCGATAGTTCCAAACACGCTGGCGATAGAGAGCTGAAACTTGGCATACCTGACCTTTGATTCAAGCCGGATCTTTTGACATCAACCGCATTTTCGGGTCAGGTCAGGTCACTGACCTATGACGTCATTCTGCACGGTCTTCAGATGTTGCAACTTCGCAACGCCCTCACTGCCAGAGGAGCTTTCACAGGGAAATGAAACTTGCAGGATCTAGTATCCATTACGAGTCTCACAACTTATATCTCGGATTTTTCCTTAAGGTCAGATGAGGTCAGGTCATTTTCGTGACTTCACCATTATAAGTCAATGGGGAAAAATGAAAACTGCTATTCTGGCGCCAGGAACGATCTGCAACTATCTCAAGCACACAGAATCATGATTTGATGCACTCCTTGCAAGGTTAGATGCATCACTTTTGCAATGTTGACCTTGCGTGACGTCATTTATGACGTCATCAAGGTCATATTAGTTTTTCGTCAATAACTCCCGATCAAATTGAGCTAGCGAGTCGGGAAAGCCACCAATCGACTCAGGAAGACCTGCCGAATCGAATGATATGCGACATGACCTCTTTCGACCAACTTCGTGACCTGGGGGCGCTGACCTGACCGTGACCTGGGGTCAACACCCTAAGTTGACCTGACCCAAACAAAAAGTATATCATTTGACGCGCCTGAGCGAGGCGAACACGATGATACCAAAATCGCGGTTCTGCGGCCGTTTTTTTGCAAAGTTATTCACCAAAAACTGAACCGTACCTTGGGGCACTTGACCTGACCTCAGAGGTCACCGGTTGTAAAATCGGGTACCAACCTCTGCATCTCGTAACGGCGCACACGCTCGTTTTTTCCGCGACGCGCTAGCTCCACGTCAGGGGCGAAACGGCGAGGGGGAGGAGGGGGGGTCGTACCCGCCCTCCTTGGCCGGCGCGTATGTAGAAAACCAATAGGTCCGGCGAGGGTTAAGGTCATATGAGGTGAGGTCATTTTCGTGACCTCACCATTATAAGTCAATGGGGAAAAATGAAAACTGCTATTCTGGCGCCGGGAACGATCTCCAACTATCTATAGCACACAGAATCAAGTTTTGATGCACTCCTTGCAAGGTTACATGCGCCACTTTTGCATTGTTGACCTTGCGTGACGTCATTTATGACGCCATTAGGGTCATATTAGTTTTTCGTCAATAACTCCCGATCAAATTGAGCTAGCGAGTCGGGAAAGCCACCAATGGACTCAGGAAGACCTGCCAAATAGAATGATATGCGACATGACCTCCTTTAACCAGCTTCGTGACCTGGGGCCGCTGACCTGACGGTGACCTGAGGTCAACACCCTAAGTTGACCACACCCAAACAAAAAGTACCTATATCATTCGGTGCGCCTAGCGAGGCGAACGCGATGCTGCCAAAATCGCGGCTCTGCGGCATTTTTTGCGAAGTTCTTCACCAAGAACGGAACCGTACCTTGGGGCACTTGACCTGACCTCAGAGGTCACCGGTTGACCTAGGACCTTAAAATTGGGTATCAATATCTGCGTCTCGTAACGGCGCTCACGCTCGTTTTTTTTCCGCGAGGCGCTAGCTCCACCAGGGGCGAAACGGCGAGGGGGTCCTACCCACCCCCCCCCCCTCGGCCGGCGCGTATGCAGAAAACCAATAGGTCCGGCGACCGTTAAAATTGGGTATCATCAGCCTCCTCTCGTCACGGGCAGCACGCTCGTTTTTTTTTCTGCGAAGCTCTAGCTCGATCAGGGGTCGAACGGCAGGGGTTCCAGCCGACCCCCCCCCCCTACACATTAGACGCTGGAAAACACCGCACACAGACGAGGGTTAAGGTCTCAGGTCGACTGGTGACCTATTAGGTCACATCAAGTGGCCCGAGTGGATTTTCTAATATCTACTGTGACATTTTGAATGCATTCCTACTGAAGTTCCGGGGCCACAAACGGAAAGGACGGACGGAACAGTCACGGTGGAGCTTACGCTAGGGCAGGGACGGAGGAGTTCCCGTAAGCTCCCTAAGCAGCCGCGTCATGCGGCCGTTCTGTTGCTATGCCCGGTGGTATGACTACTGCTGACCACCGGCTGGAGTCGGGTTCGCCGGCGTCGCCGCGGCATCCGTCACAGATCACACCCGGATTATGACAGCGGCGGCGGCGGCGGCGGCGGCGGCGGGGACGCTGGCCACATTTTGGCCGCCGTCCGCCTTCTTTCAGCGCGGCGACGCACGAGAGGAGGGATCCGCCGACGGTCGACGCATAGAAATGCGTGCATTAGCCGGCGGCGGCGACGCGCCGGGCGGAGCAGGGCGACATCTCGTGGCCGGCGCCGAAGGGTTGCGGCGCGCTGACGTCACGCCTGGTTATCAGCTGTCGGCCGAGCGGCGCGCCGCGGCGGGCCGGTTCAGAGTTCAGAGCCCAGCGGGCGCCGCCGGCTCGGGCCGCTCCGCAGAGGGTGTTGCGCCGCCGGCATGGGGGCACGTCGCGACGGCGCTCAGTGAGACAGCGGCCGGCGATCGCGCGCGGACGGCCGGGCCGTGACCCGTGTGTACGTGGACACTAACCGTGAACTCAGCAGCCGCCACAGTGGAGTTCGTAGATATGGCAGACGTGTCGGGGGAGGAGAACTTTGACCCGAACCTGGAGCCGCAGCAGCGCTCCCGGGCCAACACGTGGCCCCTGCCCCGACCCGAGGACTATGTTGAGAACCAGCACCCGCTGGATGACCTGCCGGAGGCGTCCACTTGGGACATTCAGCAGCAAAACTTCCACCAAAATGCGGCACCGCCGCCACCGCCGCCACCCCCACCGCCACCACCGCCGCCGCCGCCTCCGCAGCAGCCGCCGCCACCTCCCCCGCAGCAGCAGCAGCAGCAGCAGCAGCAGCAGGCGGCGGCGCTGATGCCGTCTCCTGGCCACAACGGCAGCGGCGGCGGCCTGTTGATCTGTAAGACGGAGCCGGGCACCGTGCCGATGGTCACCGACGCCGCCAAGCCCGCCTCCGATTCCACGGCCGTGCTGCCCAAACCGAAAAACTCTAACCGGCGGAACGCCTGGGGGCCGCACAGCTACGCCGACCTGATCACGCAGGCCATCCTCTCGTCACCCGAGAAGAGGCTGACGCTGGCCCAGGTGTACGACTGGATGGTGACCAACATCCCCTGGTTCAAGGATAAGGGTGACAGCACCAGCTCGGCAGGATGGAAGGTAGGTTCGGGGACCGGGGACGCGGCCGCGGCTGCCGCTGGGTCCGATCGTGATGCTGTGTTTGATCGGAGGGGGCGTGTTCGTGACGTGTTATGATCAGGTGGGTGTGATCGTGACGCTGTGTTTTGATCAGGTGGGCTCGACTGTCCCCCTCCCTCCGGCCTCCAGCTCGTGCTGCGGGCCCTAAAACACCGTATTATATAAGTACTGCATTTCTATACCACCCTCTTCATTTCTTACTATTCACATCGCCCCACCACACAACTCCCATTCATCCGCCCCCTTGCATAGCCCCTGACCCACTCACTACCTCCCCACTTCCCTCTCCTCCACCCACCCCCTTGCCTGCTCAGGCTCACCCCTCGCGTCCCCGCGTCTGTCGCCCCAAAGTCCCTGGCCGGGCGTCTCGCCCGCTCCCTCAGTCGGGGTCGAGCAGGCGCCCCTCTCAGGTCACCGAGTCCCTCTGCCCCTCTGCCCCTCTCCCCCTTGTCTCGGCCCGTAGTAACCGCCTGACGGACTCCCAAGACGGAAGGGTCGGCAGGAGGCGCCGTGGCAATTGGCAGTCGAGGCCCGTCTGCCCGTCCAGTCGTACCATATGCTGATCAAATCAACTTAGTGGAATATTTCATCGAATGCATAGCTTGGCGTTTGTGAAGCTTATTCGGCTGCTTTTTCTTATTCCATTGCTTTCTTCGAATTATTCGGACATTTGTGATCCCCGCGATAATTGAACCGATGAGTTTGTCAACAGAATAAAACCATATAAATAACCGACGAATCGATTAAAAACGGATGGGATGGGGTACACGTAATTCTTAAGCTTAATTGCACCTGTAGGTGGGAACTGCGAGACCAGCTGGACCATTTCGGATGAGTGCGGAACCAGCTGGACCAGGATGAGGTCGAGCAGATCAGAACGGGGTCAGGGCGGGGTCAAGCGAACCAGGAAGACCCGGCGCCAGCGGCGACCCTTGCCCGGCCGGACCCGTCGCCCCGTGTGCCGCCGCGGCCGTTCGAACACTGTCGGACCGCTGTTACGTGCCGCCGCTCCACGTATATACTCGAGAGTTTCTTGACTGGCCCGTGCTCCGAATGGCTCGTGCTCAGACTGGTCTGTACTCCCGACTGGTCTGTACCGATCGGTCCGTACTCCTCTAGTCTGTTCCGATCGGTTCGTACTCCCGACCGCCCGCACTCTCGACTGCCCCGTATACTGCCGCCTAAATCAAACTCTTTATATGCCGTGCTACCTATACTATAGTTTGTGAATTGTGCTAGAACTGTACAGCTGTCCTGATTTTGAGGCCGCTGCCGTGCTTTTGGTCACACCGTTCACAGGCAGCTTCCCGGCTCACCGGGTGCACTTGTTCTGCTCAAATTATCTTTGACGTAAACGACATTCCTCTGGAAAGCAGTAGGCTAGTTTACACAGTGTCAACATGTCAAAGATACCACTTTGGCATCGTGCTGGTGTTGTAGTCGCAATACGGCAGAAGCATCCAGTTTTCATATTCACCGTCTATGCCACCTTCCTATTCCTGACCAATTACCCTGGATATCTGATCTCAATTTGTGCATTCGTTTTCCATTTGTTCTTTTCTCTCAAAAGTGCAAAATCTCTCTTTTTTCTCTCTCTCTTACCTACTCTGTCTTTCTCATTCTCTCTCTCTCTCTCTCTCCCTCCCTCCCTCCCCTCTCTCTCTCTCTCTTTCTCTCTCTCTCTATCTCTCTCCCCCCCTCTCTCTCTCTCTCTCTCTCTTTCTTTTTCTCTCTCTTCCTCTCATTTTTGTCCCTCGTGCTGTCTCGCTGCAACTTATATCCACTATGTATTATCCCCCGTGTTACCTGCTCGTATGTCCTTTCTCACGGCTGGGGACGGTCACCACAACGGTTGAGGGCGCCCGAGCTCCCGTCGCTGGATGTCTCTGGCTATCTCTACTCCGACTCTGACCAGGTTTTGAATCTCTTTGTTCCGTGCCGTTTCAACCCGTCTCTTTGCTGCTCTGGTTAGTCCTTGATAGTCTATTACTGTCTCTGTGTTCCCCTTTCAGTCTCTGGTAGTCGCTGACCATCTCTGCCTTCTCTGCCTTCTCTGTCAGTCTCTGACCACCTCCAACCATTTTCACGCCTTGTCTCTGCCAAATCTTTCCAGTATCCACCTTTGTCCATATCTATCCTGCCCATCTGCCCTTTCCCTGCCCTTTTAATTCCCTGTCCGTCTCTGTCTCTCCCTGTCCATCCTGTCCATCTCCCTTTCCGTCTCTGTGTCTCCTGTCCATCTCCGCTGCGTCTCTGTTGTCTCCGGGCCGGCAGGTGCCGCCGGAAGACACCTCTCCTGCAATCGGCGCTCACTCTCGCTCTCGGCGCCCGATGAATGCCGTGTTTTTGCGCGCTCGCACGCGGCCGCTCGACTCGCGTGCTCGGTCACGTGGTGGCCGATTCGCTCGGTGGTCGGTAATGAAGCGCTCCACGGCGCCGGTAGCCACGCTGACCGACTGAGGAGATGTTGGCGAGTCGGTGGGTCGGTCACAGAAGAGCTGTCCGCCGCCGCAGATGCAAGCTCTTGGACTGAGTGGTGACGGTATGGCCGAGCTGGGACGGTATGGACGGGAAGTGTCAAGTGACGATACGAGTGAAATGATGGTGGGAGAAGCTCAACTGCAGTAGGCCACATACCGAGCCGACGACTGCCAGACTCAATGGACACTGGACAGCCGCGAGAACAATGTTGGGTCTCCTGTTTGCCGCTATCTGCGCCTGAGAGGGGCTTGTCACCGTGCGTGTGCATTGCCGCTCGGTGCGGGTTCCAGGCGGCCGGACCGTGGTGATGCATCGGACCAGCGCCTGCAATGATGAGCGCTCGGCCCGCCGGGCCAGCGCGGAAGTCGTGTAGCGGCCCGCTCGGACCTGGGCCTGGCTCGGTTTTTACTGCGCATCTGAATGGGTCGCGCAGGCTCTTGGTCGTTTTTGTGCCGGCGGGGCGTCCTTGGACGTGCAGGGCGCCTTCCGCCCGGAGCGGGCCGACCTGCCGGCAGCGCGACCAGTGGATGCGACCTCCAGCCCTGGGGCTGAACCCTCAAGAGGACGACACCGCACCCTGGATCCTTGAGAGGGCGGGACGGCGCATTGAACCCTCAGAAGACGGAAAAGCGTTCCGTGCCCTCAGGCGGCTCAGATGGCGACACCGCGCTCCTTACCCTCAAAGGGGAAGGAAAGTTGGTTTTCACAAATGGTTCTGGTACTATATTTTCGTTTTGGCAGAGTAGCAATGTCGCAGATACTCGTACGTGTATGGTCGTGTAGTGCGACGTCTAGGCAGCGATAGACGCATTTCTTCCTTCTGACAGCCATCAAATTCTTGTATTTTTATCTGAATGATGATTCAGGTAACGTGGTAACAAATGATTTTATTTTATTCCCGACAACAATAATGTGAGGAAGAGTGGCCATTTCAAGCACCCGTGAGCGTTTTTCCTTGTCTAGTGACACCATTAAATCATATGATGCATTATCAATTTGAAAATGCAGAGCGTAATCAAAAGCGGTCACCGTCAAACCCTTTGGTCGTGTCCAGGCGCACAGGTCACCCGGGGTCTCGTGGGGAGGGGTCTCTGGCAGTGTGCCGGTCGCCGGGTCTGTCCTGTCGTCAGTTGTCACCCAGTGGCGGTGGTCAGAGGCCGGTGTGTTCCGCCGGTCACCTCTGTCACCCGTCCCTCCTCCGAGGGATTCCCTTTGAGAGGCTGCCGGCCCCCGGCCGCTCCAGATCCCGCCGTGACGCCGTGGCCCAATCGGCCCACCACCCAGCGACGAAGCAGCGTCAAATAGTTGAGTCGGCTCCAACCCGAGTACACCTTTCGCCGCCGGACCGCGGCCAAAGTCCTGTTCAGGCCGACCGCAGCGATCGCCGTCAGCCGGCACAAGGTGTAAACACCTGGAAACCGTGCTAAGCTATCCAGTGCTGTCGTGCTGGCGCCTGGGCTGGCCACTTTACATGTCTGCCGGCCGGCTGGGCGGTAGTGGATACCTGCGCAGTGTGTGGATACCTGCGGTACGGTGCGCCACCGGCAGACACCACACCTCTGTCGACCGTCACTGCGCACCTGGGGCGCACACGCCCCCCCCCCCCCGCCACGACCAGTCGCTGGATATACCTTGTCGCTGGCACCCAGCCGGCCCGGCCGGCTAACACGGGATCACCTCGTGTGGAGCGGCGGGGCTGCAACCGTTTCCGAAAAGTCTGCGGTGAACTAATCGCGGTGGTGAGGTGTGGCGATCCGATGGGCAGCAGGAGTCCATGTGGAGCCAGCTACCCAGAAGTCAGCCTGCAGACAGGGCCTGGAGACCAGTGACATGGACCTGAGTCTGACATCGCGAATGGCATCGGGAACGTTTGGGATCGTTCCACTGATTTTGGAGCGTTCATTATTCATATGCTGAGGAGAGCTTTGGTACCAGCACTGACATTGGCGCTAATTTTATTTCTTAGCTTACACAATACCGCCTATAAACGGTTGCTCTGCTTCTGTGTAGATGATGAGTGTTATGTTGCCGCCGTCTCACTCACAAGCACTTCTTCATCAGACGGACTGTATTGGATCACGGCCGGTCAGAGAGTGCCCATCAGTCGGTCAGTGGCGGTTCGTCTCGACCGCGCAGCTCCCCGACCTTCGACCCCGCCCCCAGGCAGTCGGTCGGTCAGCTGCGCCGAGCGGCAGCCCAGCCGCACGAATCGGGCGGTCAAACGAGCGGTCACACGAGCGGTCACACGACCAGCACATGCAGCAAATAGACGGCGTTCACTCACAGCACTCCTCCCCCTTTAACAAGTTTTTTTAGCCAGCCGAGCAGAGCGCCGCAAGGCCGGCGCCGCTTCTACCGGCTCTGATGCACGCGCGCCACGATTGCCCTCGCATGTTGCTCGCTTATTATAATCACTGATATACGGAAAACGCCCCCTAGCGTCCATCACACATGGCACTGCTGGACCGCGAAGCTTTCCCGGCTCCGTCGGAGGCGGCACCGTCACCCGCGCATCGAGGGGCCCACGCTCAGCCGTCACAGAAGCAGAGCCGTCGGCCAGCAGATGATCCACGTGGGCGAGACGTATGCGACCGTCCGGCAGCCGCACGCTGTACGTCAGTGGGCCTCCAATGGCGACGACGACAGCGCGCTGCCATTTCTCGGTCGCTGCTGGCCGCAGATCTCGAACCAAGACAGGTTGACCTGCAAGAAATGATCGTGAGACAGTGTCGACAGGCTCATGTCGCATCCGCGCTGCAACACTGGGCTTGAGGAGCGAGAGCTTTGTCCGAGGCAGTCTCCCAAAAAGCAATTCGGCGGGTGCCCGGGCTGTTGTGACGCATGGAGTCGTTCTGTATTTTGCCAGAAATTGTGCTACTGCTGTGGTTCTGGGTCCTGCATACCTCTTGAGGAAAGCTTTGAAGGTACGTACCAGAGACTCCGCCTGCCCGTTTGACGCTGGGTGGTACGGCGGTGTCAGACGGTGATGAATACCTCGCGCTGCCAGGTAGCTCTGAAACTCTCCAGAGGTAAACGGCGGGCCATTGTCTGACACCAACGTCACCGGAAAACCATGCGTTGCAAAAATGTCCGTCAACACTTCGATGGTCTTAGTAGCCGTTGTGCTAGACATGTATCGCACTTCTGGCCATTTTGAGTAAGCATCAACGAGCAAAAGGTAGGTTTTTCCTTCAAAAGTGGCAAAATCAATGTGGACTCTGTCCCAAGGCTGAACTGGGTATTTCCACGGGTGTACATTCTCTGGTTTGGGCATGTTCGCGTTCTCGACACAGGACGGACACGAACGGCATACTTTTTCAATATCTCCATCTAGCCCTGGCCACCAGAGGAACACCCTAGCCAGTGACTTCATCTTATGAATGCCAACATGGCCTTCATGAAGCTCCTTCAGTAGCTGAGCTCTATATCTGTCAGGTATGACTACCTTCTCACCGAGCTGTACGCAGCCGTCGATCACGGTGAGCTGCTCTCTCCGCTGCAGGTACGGCTTCAACCGGCTGTCGTTCGCGTGCCCGGGCCAGGCGCCGGTTCGAGCCCAGCCGAGCACCACGCTGAGCACCGGATCCTTGGCGGTGGCAGACGCCACCTGGGCTGCAGTGACAGGCAAGACGTCATCAACGGCACAACAGCCCTCCTCAACGTCCTCCAACACATGCACGGCTCGATCACATGTATCTGGCCCCGGCAGTCGGCTGAGGGCATCAGCAGCTACGTTCCGACTGCCCGGCAGATATTCTACATCGTACTGGTACATGCTCAGAATGAGTGCCCACCGCTGAAGACGTGCTGCAGCCACAGACGGAACTTGTGTGTGTGGTCCGAAAATGTGACACAGCGGCTTGTGGTCGGTGACTAGCGTGAAGGAGCGGCCACACAAGTACTGATGCCACCGCTTGACGGCAAAGATTATGGCCAGTGCCTCCCTCTCTATTTGCGCATACTTTCTCTCGGCCTCTGTCAGTGTACGAGACGCAAACGCGATCGGACGCTCCCCCGACCCGTCCACGTGCACCATACACGCTCCCAGGCCGTACGCCGAGGCATCACAATACACCTTGACTCGCTTACCCAGATCGTAGTGAGTCAAGCAGCCAGCGTCTGCGAGCATGGACTTTACCTCAGAGAATGCCTCCTGGCATTTTGGGGACCAGTTCCACACGGTATCTCTCTTGGTGAGATCGTACAACGGTCTGAGGACGGTGGACAGATGAGGAAGGAACTTTGCGTTGTATGTGACCATACCCAGGAATGTCAGCAGCTCCTTGGCGTTCTTTGGTGCCGGCATAGCCAGCATGTCTCTCACCTTCTTTTCGCTCGGTCGCACTCCCTCGGTGGTGAGAGTGTATCCCAAGAACTCCACAGACCTCTGGAAGAAGCGGCACTTCTCGCGGCGCAGCCGCACACCGTACTGCTGAAGGCGACTGAGCAGTTGTTCGAGGTTGTCCACGTGCTCCTGGCGAGAGGATCCGGTCACCAAAATATCATCAAGATAGCACGCGACACCCTTCAGACCTTGCAAAATGCTATCCATCGTTCTTTGCCAAATATTGGGAGCAATATTCAGGCCAAATGGCAGCCTCCGGTGACGCATCAGCCCTCGTGGCGTATTGACCGTAAGCAGTTCCTGACTTTTTTCCGAGACGCGTAGCTGTTTATATGCGTTTGCTAAGTCCAGTTTTGTGTACGACTCTCCCCCCGAGAGGCAGCTAAACATCTCCTCCGTAGTCGGTAGCGGATACGACTGCTGTTTGACATATCTGTTAACTGTGACTTTAAAGTCGGCACAGATCCGCACATTTCCTCCCGGCTTCTTGACAATTACCAAGGGTGCGGCCCACTCGCTCTCCTGCACCGGGTAGAGCTCACCTTCCTCCAGCTGCCTGTCGAGCTCCTGGTTCACCTTCTCCCTCAGTGGAAACGGTACCGGCCGGCTCCGGAAGAACCGTGGTCTGGCATTGTCGTCCAGCTCGATGTCAGCTTCGATGCCTCTGATCTCCCCCAGCTGATCGGAGAACACATCTTCATATTTCTCCTGCAACTGGGAAGCAGACATGCACACTGTGTGAACGTCACGTCCGTGAAATATTCTATTCCAGTCCAGCTTTACACGGAACAACCAATCACGGCCTAGTAGCGGGTACTTGTTACGCACGTTCACCACCAAAGCTGTACCTGTGAACTGCTGGTCATCGTGCTGAACATGAGCACGCATCTCTCCACACACGGTCAATGGCGTGCCATCATACTGTGACAGTCTCTTCTTTGTGGCTATCAGTGGCTCTGAGTCGTACCCAAACACTCTCTCGAATACATGCTCTGGAATCGTAGTGATTTCTGCACCCGTATCTATCTCCATCTCTAGCGGCTTATCGTTGATTATCAGAGTCGTAATCAACTTACCGCCTCGGGGTTGATGGGTGTGGAGCACCGAATACTCATCTCCAGAGTCCTCTTCCAGTTCTCCAGTCTGATGGACCTCTCGTCCACCGGATCTTCCTCCTTTCTGGTGCCTGTTGTCTGCTGTGACTGGTCCTCTTCCGAGCGGTCGACTGGAAAGGCCTGACCGCGCCCCCTCCCGACCGGACGGTCCAGGCCGCGACCCTCCCTCGGCACCGCCGGCCGGGCCACTGCGGCCGCCGGTCGGGTCACCGCGACTCGCGGGTCGGCCACCAGGCGGCAGCACCTCACCAGCCGCAGCGCCCGCTCCCGGGTTCCTGCAGACGGCTGCCAAATGACCGCGCAATCCACACGCAAAGCAGACAGTACGCATGAACCGACAACGATTCGCAAGATGGGTTGAGCTACCGCATCGAAAACATGATCTGCCTCGAGACCCAGCAGAAACAAACTCCACCTGGTGATGGGTCGGATCTGCCGTTGAAGTCGGTTGCGTCGGGTGAATCGCCGCGGACTCCCTGGCGACCGCTTCATATGACCTGGCGTGCTGAACTGCATCCTGCAGCGACAGTGACGACACGCACAGCAACTCCTTCTGACACCTGGCATCATTCAGTCCACACACGAATTGATCACGTAGCGCAGTATCAAGATATAATCCAAAACTGCAGTGAACTGCGAGCTTCCTGAGAGAAGCTATATATTCCGCAACAGATTCTTCACTGCTTTGTTTCCTTTGAAAAAATCTGTATCGCTCTGCGATTTCAATCTTTGCTGGACTAAAATGAACCTTCAAAACATTCTTGATCTCTTCAAAAGAAGCCGCGTCCAACGTTTGAGGACTAATCAGAGCCTTGACTTTCTCAAATGTGGACTGACCAACAGAAGACAAAAATATGGCTTTCTTCTTACTCTCTGACCGGACCTCATTAGCGACACAGTAAAACTCAAATCTTTCCAAATAATCAGTGAGTATCTCAGATTGCGCATCAAACGGTTCCAGTTTGCCGTGAGCAGGCATACTTTACCGAGCTCTTCCTCTCTGAGTTCTTCCTCTCTCGTCGCCACTGTTATGTTGCCGCCGTCTCACTCACAAGCACTTCTTCATCAGACGGACTGTATTGGATCACGGCCGGTCAGAGAGTGCCCATCAGTCGGTCAGTGGCGGTTCGTCTCGACCGCGCAGCTCCCCGACCTTCGACCCCGCCCCCAGGCAGTCGGTCGGTCAGCTGCGCCGAGCGGCAGCCCAGCCGCACGAATCGGGCGGTCAAACGAGCGGTCACACGAGCGGTCACACGACCAGCACATGCAGCAAATAGACGGCGTTCACTCACAGCAATGAGCAATGCATTATGTGCTAATTCCCTTCCGATCAAATCCGATTTACCCGGAAGGCATCATCTGATCCAACTGCCGGGAAACTTTTTTTCTGGGATTGACCTCGCAGTAGGCTGGCGGAAGACGAGCGAACGGGAGGGAGCCGATGTCCCGGCTGACAACATGCTGCAGAAACTGCAGTTCCCCGAATCCCTGATGGACCGACAGACGTGAGCTCGGGACTCCTGACAGTCGCAGCTTCCCAACAAACCGACAGACGGCAGCTGCAATCTCCTGGTAGACTGGGCAGGCTGGAGCTGCAGAACTCCTTGACGGACCGACAGACCATAGCCAAGTTCCCGGGCCGGACCGACAGATTGGAGCTACTACAGTGGTTTCTTGACAGACCGACAGACTGAGATATCAGTTCCCCGACGGACCGACAAACTGTAGTAACAGTTCCAGTGACTGACCGACAGACTGCAGCTGACGCCTGACAGACCCCTGGCGGGCCGACAGACTATTGCATTATAATTCCCCGACGGACCGACAGACTGCACAACTGATATCTCCTGGTGGACTGACTGGCTGTATTTACGGTTCCCTGACCAGTAACAGAGAGTGGAACTGACGGATCCTTGTCCGACCGACCACCGCCCATCGCCCACCATCGGTCCCGAAATATGTAGATAGCAAGGTCACTGGGTGACCGTCGTTCAGGTCAAAGGCGAGTTACTGATCAGGTCACTGCATGTACAGTGGTCAGTGTGCATTTTCACACCAATTATGGTATGAAAGGAACGGATAAGCGGACTGGTCACCGAACGTCAAATGAATGCACGGGAGCTTGGCCCCGTGTGGGAAACTCCGTCGAACTGGTCACCGTTGTCTGATGACAGCTGTCTCCGCTGTCTGATGACAGGCTGTCACCGCTGGCGGTCAGGGATGACAGTGTGGCACCATCGCCAGCTCCCGGTATCTCACCCCTCTCCCTCTGCCCCCTCTCTCCCCGGTAATGGTCACGAGTGACAGGTGCAGGCGTCCACAGTAATCCACCGTAAACTCGACCGACTAATGCCTGTAGAAAACATCGCATCCTTGCGGTGGCTAGATGTTGACCCAGATGTGTGTGCACTGCAGGGGCGCTGGAACTACTTTCCGACTGGGGGGGCACACCATAATAGAGATTAACCTAGGGTACCCCCAAATCTAGTTTTCTCACCGGTTTTAGGCCACTTACTTTTCACCCCTCGGCTTTTTCAACAAAAAAAGAAAACATTTGCAAAACAAGTGTGGTATTCCGTCTCAAAGCTGTGGGGGCACCGCCCCCACGGCCCCAAAGTTGGGGGGGCAAGCTGCCCCCACTGCCCCCCCGGCTCCCGCGCCTATGGTGCACTGTGCGCTTTTTGGTACTGATTATGTCTTTCTTTCGAAAGGAGTTGTGTTGGCAGTTCCCAGGAACTTTGGATATCACAGCGTGTGACCTCCTGGTTTCGGACGGTATTCGACAGACAAGAGCTGATAATCTGTGACCACGGAAAATGATTTAGGGGACCAATTGTGATATATGGCAAGACTATTCAATGGAGATATCGAGCATCTCCTGAATTTTCACTCCATATGGCGGGGCGAACTGTTGCGGCCGGTGCAGGCTATATGAACATTGAACAATCACTCGGTCCTGCGTGGTGCGGGCGGCGGGCCGACCAGTCTAGCTCTGCTCTGACTGACACCAGAGCTAACCAGTAGCCAGTAGCGTGTTAGATCTCAATCTGCACTGCAGCTCAGCCCAGCCGCTGCGCTGTCGCACTGAGCGGCTCACTGCCCGGCCGTGATTTGTGATGATCATTGATTAACAGGGCAATTGTCGGCTATTACGCCACCATTGGCCGATTATGAGTGCGGTGAGGCTGAGCCGTCTAATGGCATGTTTTCACGGTGACGGTAATCTATTTAAATGCCTTACTGTGGGGGAGTGGGTGTCGGTGGACCTGTGTGGAGCTGACACCTGGGTGGTTGCCGGTCCCGGTTGACGCGGCCAGCGCGGGGATCCGTGTTAGTGGGGAGCATCAGGCAGGGTTGTGCTTGACTCATGAGTCGAGTCAAAAATTTGACTCAACTCTGACTCAAATGAGTCAGATTTGAGCCGAATCGGATAAATTTTTGAGCTGTTGAGTTGAGTCAGAGTTGAGTCGGACAAAAATATTAAGGCGTTGAGTTGAGTCAGAGTTGAGTCAGTAAAATAACTTTTGACATTGAGTTGAGTCAAACATTTAGGAACATGAGTCAGCTGACTCAACTTTCGAGAAACAAGCTTTTCATTCCCCACCCCCGCTTCCCTGACCCTGTTGCCGGACTTTTTCACCCCCCTGCCCCGCTCAAGAGCTTTTTTTATCAGAGTCAATTTTGAGTCAACTCACTTGACTCAACAAAAAATTTGAGTCAAGTTTGAGTCGACTCATATTTTCATTGAGCCGCTTGAGTCATGAGTCGAGTCAAGGGAAAAAATCAGCTCCTTGTTTGAGTCAGAGTTGAGTCGGGGCTTTCTGAGGTTGAATGAAGAGTCGAGTCGGTAAATTTTTTTGAGTCGAGCACAACCCTGGCATCAGGCATGACACTGTCCGGCGCGAGCGGCGACTCGGGACACCCTCCCCAGCCTCCCCTGCCGCCCTCATCCCTGCGGGACTCGGGACCTTCCTCCCCATCCCCCTGCCTTCCCGCGCGTCCGCTCCCGACCCGGGCCGGTGGCGGCTCCCGCACCCCGCCGAGCCCGGTCCGCCCTGTCCCACTACCCCTCTCCCTGCCCTGTCCCACTACCCCTCTACCCCTCCTTACCCTTCACACCCCTGCCGAACCCTGTCCCCACCCAGGCCATTCTCAATACCCCGATTTCCTTCACCCCCCAGTTTGCTTTCGATTTAGTAGATTTTCAGTTCAGCATCCCTTGTCTTCGACCCTAGTGCTGCTAGAATCCTTTGCTTGTCAGTGTTTCAACACTTCCCATGCCTGACCGTGACCGTGACCCTGCCCCTGCCTCTCCCCTCCCCCTTCCCCGCCCCTGCCGCTGCCTGACCGTGACCCTGCCCCGCGCTAGCCGCCGTCGCTGCCCCGTGTTTGTGTTGGAGCGCCGACGGCACTGTGCCTGGGTCAGCGTCGCCACCCCGCCGGCCGGCCGGCAGCCAGCCGTCAGTCAGGGGTCGTCGGTCATGGTGACGTGATGACGGCCAGTCAGTCACACTGACCAATACGATATGCCATGCGACGTGCGCGACGGGCGACATATAGGGCGGCTTAGTGAGTCGGCGGCCGGACAGTCGTCAGCACCAGCAGTATGTCGGGCTTGTCGGTTGTGTTGCACTTTTTACGTACCTGATCGTATAGTAGATTAAAACGCACATATCTCGAAATAAATTCGGGAAAAAGTGTGATGAAGTTATACGGTGCTTCAATTTTCACAAAGAAGCGTGTTGTTTTATTTGAATTCGAACCATCACCCTCATTTCTGTAAGCAATTACAATAATTGATTTAGGCTGCTCAGGAGCGTTGCGCCGACCCGTAGCGCCATCCCGCGCATATTCATACGCCGGTCGCCGGTCGGGAGGCTGCGTCTGTCTCTCCCCACCACCTGCCGCGCCGCCATATCTCCAGCAGCCATCTTGCGGCGGCCGCCGTCTCCCGTCGTCTCGCCTCCTCCCTTTCGCTTTTTAGATGGCGTCGTGCGCGGCGTGACGGTCCCACCGGTCGGGCCGCGACGCCCCACCGGACGGGCAACAAGGGCCTACCGGGGCGCCATTGCCGCCCGCCGCCGCCGCCGCCGCCGCCGCCGCGCCGCCCGCAACCCGCTCTAAAGAAGTGGGGGAAGCGGCGGCACAGGGGTCGCTGGGGAGGGGAGCGAGAGGGTTAGCTGAAAAATCGTAAACAGCCTGGTGCGGATTCTGCCAAGTGTGCTGTGCGTGCGCTGTGCGTGAGGCTGGGGGACGGGCGGGTGGAGGGCAGCCACGTCGACGTTCACAAGGCGGCGGATGCCGGCGGCGACGGGGATGTCGACTTCGACAGCGGCAGAGACCAGACGCAGTGAGCCAGCCAGCCTCATCTAGCCCCGGCTCCAGCGCACCCTCCGCTGACCGCGACCCCGATCATGCGTGCGGTGGAGACAGCTGGCTGAATCCGACGCCGGGGACAGATATGTGAGAGAACGGGTGAAGAGGAGAGCGCCGGCGTGCGAGTCCGGTCGGACGGGAGGGTCGGTCGGTCGGTCGGTTGGATGGCGCTGCAGCCTCAATGCGGCGCACCTATTCACCTCCGGAGGCGCCGGTGGCACCTGGCGGCGCGCACACTAAAAATCCCCCGCCGGGTCAGGGCCGAGCGGGGGGGGGGAGGGACACGCACAGGGGAGGGGGAGGGGTACCGGCGGACGGGAGGGAGGGCTGCCGGCGCCGTGGGTACTGCTGGACCGCCGGGGCGCCCATCAGAGGGGATTACGGTGGCTGATCGGGGCGGCCTCCCCTCTGACTAGGTGCTGGTCGACTGACTGCAGCTATCCGGTACCTGGCTACAACGCCCTAATGACTGACATTGACGGGTCTAACGTTACCGATTAATGTCAACATTAAACGACAACTTAGAAGGAAATTCGTATTTGGACTAATGTAGCTTTGTGCCTGACCGTTTTCTGATTGATGCTCTAAATAACATGGACGAAGAAAATCAAAACAAATGATTTTTAACTCTTTTCTACTTTTTTCACCGATTGGCCCCGCAATACGCTCATTACCTACAATGGTTTAATGTCGGTTAAGGGTAAATTAATTTGTATCATTTAATATGCTGTCTGGA